TTCCTTGATCGCGACTGTGTACAGAGTGATTCACGTAACTTGCACACCCTGTATAATAACTTTCAAATTATGCGTCTAATGAAAAATTGTCTAATGAAAGTTGTATGATTTTAAATCGAAATATGGCGAAATATGGCAAAGTATCAATTCTTTGTGTGTGTCGAGGGTTTTCGAGATCTTCCAGGTCACGTCTATTTTTTCTTAAATTGAACAACATGATTGTTTTCATCGTAAATCGAAAGAATAATAAATTAAAATTAAAGTAAGAAAGTATTAACATTGGTCCTAAACTCTAATAGTTGAAGAGATATTTTATATAATAATTCGTCTTTGTCTTTTTGAGTGTGATTGAAGCAACAGAACCTTGATACAGGATTGTTCTACGTGCCAAATACTACAAAAAGCACTGTACTTTAGATACTTTGGATATTTTCTTGTGTTACGAGCATTACCTGCAATTTCGCACTTTGAAATTTCTTACAAATGCATAAAAATTTGCAATCCAACAATGATTACATTCCAACTGCAGCTGTTGATCATAAGTAACGATTAAACTCCTAACTTTAACTTTTAATCGCGTTTATTAGACTATCGACGATCGACTATTGACCGATTAAATCAATCGATTTTTTTGATTTTATCATCGAGAATTGATTGATGCACAACTGTGGACTGAAAGTGGAGTAGATCCATTGAAAATCATATTTAATTAATTCCACTAGAATTCTATTTTGCCGAAATTATTGGAATTGAGTTTAAAATTATTTTAGAAACGAGGAAAATTTCACGAGCGCAAAATGAAATAATTATATCGATCGCGAGTCGTCGTACGATTGTTGTTATTGTATGAACTGCAATTGGGAAAATGGCGCAGAAATTGATTCGCGTTACTGAGCGTTATAAAAACTGCTCTACTTTCGATACTTTATATATTCGCGCGCGCGCGCGCACTGTTTAGAAACGTGAAATTAAGTGAAATTAAAGAGCATTTGAGATATAATATCGTTTGAGAAAGTAATCAGGGAAATATTATCTGAACCGTGTATACGGAATTTGAAACGGAAACGTAGAATAATTATCGCGAGTATGTGTCAAACACTCTTGAAATCTCGATACAGTTCTCGCGCTTTCCGCGTAATTGCACGTCTAAATAATTAACGAGATGGTAGACTCAAACACAATATTAATTAGCGAGTTATTCGCAAAACGCAAGCTCCGAAGGCTCATTTTATTTGGCTAACGAATTAGCGAGTTAGCGAGCGTTGCGAACAGAGTGGCTTCAACACACGATGAAAAACAAATTGGGAGAGAATTTCTATTTGTATTAAATTGATTTCAAGAACGATCGTCGTGATCTCATATTTTTCTTCACTATCGCAAAGAGCATTATAAGAGTTTTGAATTGTAAATCTGGTGATTTTCTGCGCCGTGAAACGTTTCACGAGCGGCGAGAACGCGATCGAAAGAACGAAAGAACCGAATCAAATTACATACATTGTTTCATGTCCCGGAAGCCTTTGTCGGTCGGCTGCAACCATCCTCGAAAATTGACATATTGCGCATGCAGTCTAAGCCGGCTTGTGTGCCGGATGACCCATTTCAATCTAAAAATGGATTTACCTCTCCAGTGAGGAGAACAAACACGCGTGTTCCGAAAGAGACGGGGAGATCACGTCGGCAGAGATCGATTAGAAAAGAGTCCGACGATGTTTCGAATCAGTTGGATAGTTGGGAGTCTAATTGAAATTTAATCTTCATCAATTAGCGAATTTGATCTCTGAACCTTGACGACGTGGGACGTTCGAAAAGTAGCGCGAAAAGAAAGTAAAAAAAAAAAAAGAAGAAAATTTCGTAGAAAGAATTACACACCGTTTCGTAGTAATATTATGATGTATGATGATTTAATATCGCAAATAATATTTGACAAACTCTTGGACAAGGCTGAAAGTTGAAAAAAATGGGAAAAACGAGGACTTACCGATAGAGCATCCGCTCTTGGCGATCAGCCTCCCGATAAATCTTGTAGTACATGGCGATCATGATGATGCCGGGCAGCCAGAAACTCACACTGGAGCTGATCACCGCGTAGAGTTTGTTCACTTGGAACACGCACACGTCCGGATAATTCCTCCTGTACTCGAGGTGCTTCTCGGTGGTGTACCAGCCGGCGAATATCGGCAGGAAGCTCATCACCGTCGGCGAGCACCAGACCACGCTCAGCATGGTGCTCAGCCGTAGGTTCGTCATGATCAACGGATAGTCGAGCGGCTGTACGATCGCGTAGTAACGATCGACGCTGATGCAGCACAGGTGGAGGATCGAGACGGTGCTGAAGAACACGTCCAGCGAGTTCCACACGTCGCACATGAAGTAGCCGAACAACCATTTGCCGGACAGCTCGACCGACGCGTTGAACGTCATCGCGAAAATCGCCACCAGCATGTCAGCCAACGCCAACGAGACCACGAAGTAATTGGTAATTACCCGGAGCTTCCGGTGCCTCATTACCGACACGATCACCAATAGATTGCCGAACAGGGCGCACAGAATGATGAAGCCCATCACCATCCCCTTCACCGTTAAAAGAAGCACGTTTTCCAGCACGTGCTCGTATGGAACATCGGTCGAACCGTTCGATTGACCGGTGTCGATCAGAACGTTGGACAGATTTAGCAGATCGGTCGCGTTCGTCAACTCCTCTTCCATCGTCGCGTTTACTTCCATCTTTCGAACGCTAATTTACTTTTCTTTTTTTCTTTTTTTTTGGTCCGTTACCGTGATTCGCGCGGCCTCGCGACGCCCTCTTCCGCTTCTTCGACCACCCCGTCGACGAGGTTGCACCGGAGATGCCGCCAGGCCATCGAAAAACGCGGAACGAGTTCCGGAGTTTAGTTGGCTAACGAGGAATATCGAGGGAGGCTCGTACGAGCCTGGACGTCGATAGAAGTTCCGTCGTAAAGTTTGACGTGTTGCCAGCCAGACATCTTCGCTGAGATAACGCGGAGTTGGATGCGCTGCAAAAGGATCGGTTGCAAAAGGCTTGGTCTATACGTGCTTGAAGCTGAACCGAGATTCTCGACGTCCTCGCGACCCGTTGGAGACGTTCCAGGATGTACGTTCTGTCGCTGGATTCGGATTCTGTGCACGCTGTTCCAGCGAAGTTGAGACGAAGCTCGTCTCCGCGTGGTCCTCGAGCATCGCGGCAGTCTGCAATCGGAAATGACAGGGAATTGAGCTCGGCAAAAAATTTTCGTCTTCAAATGTGAACAAAGTATGAACGTGCAATAATTATATTGTTTTTCTAGTGTGAAGCGCCCGGCAAATGTTATTGACAATAATTGCAACAAAAAAATATTGGATCATATATTATTTTTATCGTTATTGTCGTATATTACTCAAACATTTTATTTCATTTAATATCCTTGAAATGGAAAAGTGTGGTGATAAATTGATCATAAAAAGACGCAAGTATATAACGTGTAGAAAAACATAAAACGGATCGCGTTTCGAATTGTACTGCACTTTACTAGATTATTAGATATACGAAATGAAGCTTAAAGTCATAGATTATACTAGATTGCGAAATGAATTATATACTGAATTATCAGATTACGAAAAATGAATAAATAATATTGGTTCAACGTAGTTTTAGATTGTTTCGATACACTTTCTGAGAAGTGTACACTGACGAAGAATTTCGCCATTCTCGGTGCGAAAGATTGGCGATTGAAAGTCAAATACCGTTAAATACACCCTCGAGCTCCCATTGAATCGCACGGTGTCAAAAATAATTTGAAATCATTCGTGCTGGCGAAACGTGCGCGTCCGTCCGTTTCGTGGAGCACGTTCGTGCCAGCGCGTCTCGCGGAGCAGATTAAATTTTCGAATGGAACGGGATTACGAGGGAATTGGCAGCGATGATGCCTTGGCGAAATATAAATAATAAGCAACGGGTTGATCGCCGATCACTGAAAGCATCGCAAAGCGGTAATGCAAACATTGCATTCATTACGGTTCGTTGTGCACCCGGTTTCGAAATTGCTTTGCAAAATTTGTTACGTAGACATGGAGCGCATGGAATATCAAGTGAAAAATAAAGTAAATCTAAAAAAAAAAAGGGTGGATACTCCCTGGTATTTCGATCGTGGAGAAACAAAAGTTTCTCAAAAAATTCAAACGAAATGCGTGGTGAGATTAAATTAGAGAAACGGAAAAGAGCAGAGAGTCGTGAGGAGAGACATTCGAAACCCAAAGTTTCCGATCCCGTGAATGCAACATTTCCAAAGGAAACTTTTCACACTGTACTTTTACGAGTAGAAACGAGCTCGGAATTGTTCGAGAACGAAATAAAACAAAAAGAAAAGAAAAATCATATCGGAGCATCATAGAATTAAAATCTCTAATCGAAACGAGAATTTCTTCCTCAAAGCCGTGTTTTTCTACGTTCGAGGAGAACAATGCTGTCGCGCAAACATCTTCTGGGAAATTAAAATACGTCTCCGCACTTCGCCGGTGGAAATGGATGAAAATTCAAACAGAAACGTCTTGTATGTGGACAAGCTGCTTATTTAGATGTTTGCCTCGTTCAATTAAGCGCCCGTCTGTCGACGATTTGAACTGTATTTTAATGGCGAGTTTTGAAACGAAATAGATGAAAAATACATTCTTTCTGGAATAATACATTAAATGAAAGTACATATATATTTAGAACAGCGCTTAAAAAGCCAGATTCACGATATCGAGAATGTTTAATATCTGCTGATAACTGATTTAAAAGGTGATTTTAATTGAGAAAAACGAGTGCAAAATATATATATAATAAACGCAGAAATTATCTCCCCTGGGTTGTGATTAAATGAAAAATCAAATTATACATATATATATTCGAAAATCAAGTTGTACATATATATTTGAAACAACTCTTAGGAAGCCAGAGAATTTTTAATACCCGTTAATAACTAATTTGAAAGGTATTTTAATTGAGAGAAACGAGGGAGAAATCGATCTCTCCTGGTTGGTGACTAAATGAAAAATCAAGTTATACATATATATTTGAAAAATCAAATTATACATATATATTCGAAAATCAAGTTGTACATATATATTTGAAACAACTCTTAGGAAGCCAGAGAATTTTTAATACCCGTTAATAACTAATTTGAAAGGTATTTTAATTGAGAGAAACGAGGGAGAAATCGATCTCCCCTGGTTGGTGACTAAATGAAAAATCAAGTTATACATATATATTTGAAAAATAAAATTATACATATATATTTGAAACAACGCTTAGGAAGCGGGACTCACAATAACAAGAATTTTTAATACCCGTTAATAACTAATTTGAAAGGTATTTTAATTGAGAGAAACGAGGGAGAAATCGATCACCCTCGTGTTGGTGATTAAATGAAAAATCAAGTTACAAAACAAGCGCCTGCAATAATAATTCCCAGCATAATTGATTTTTAATTTCTCCTTCGCGCCGGTATCGATTCATCCAAATAAAACACCGTCTAATAGAATTAGCCCGTTTCCTTTTTCTTTCCGGCTAAATCACATTGCAGTTTAATCACCGTCAATTATTTCCTTAAACATCTCGCCTCCCCCGGTCGCTTGATCGATCGATCGTTCGTTCGGTCAATTAAACAGCCCAACCCATCCCTCACTTTCTCCCTCGACGTCTTATTTCAAGCGAAATACTAGATCCATCCGATCGAGATTGAACGAATCTCGTAACGAACGATTACGTTTTTCCCCACGAGCTGTTCTCCTTGTAACAATAATAAAACCCAGGAAAAATAAAAATCGGTAGCTCATAGAGCTTGTGGTGCAAACACGAACAGTCGAAAAGAGGGAGAGACAGTATTGAGATTACAAGGGTGATAGTCTGCCCTCGCTTTCGATTCGTTGCTTCCCTTCTCGGTCCTTTCACTGCGTGAAATTACTAGAATACCAACGACTTCTGACCCGGCACAGAATTTAGAGTATTCTGTTAAATTGAGACTCGTTAAATCACGCTATTTTAAGGTTGCGTTAACGATCGATCGATCAACCCACGGCAATGGGAGATGTGATGTGTAACGCTTCGAGGCAATAATTGGCGGTGACTTGATAGATTAGACAGGGAAAGGGAAAAGGGAACAGGCATTTTATGAAAAATAAT